AACCTGCTTCAATGGAGCGCGAATGTGTGGAGGAAAAATGTGACTTTGAAGAAGCAAGAGAGATTTTCCAAACCAGGGAAGCTACAGTAAGATGTTTTTTTTTTTAAATTATAACATTTCACTAGAATTGACAGTTGTACTACTATTACTGTCATCAATAGGTAATTCCAGTTTGTGGGTGAGGATGTGATTACTGAAGGCTGGACTCTGATTCCCTAAAAACTCACATTAAACTGAAACACCTTTGGTTGAGTAGTATTTGTTAGCGATTCAGTGTGATCTCTGATTCTTTGGGTTGAAATTATGAATTAATCCTTGTCCTTCCCATTTTGTTTTTACAGCTGGAGTTCTGGACGGTGTACACCGGTATGAAAACCTGTCCCTGTTTGATGCACATCATAAAGTCAGCTTCTACTCACCTGTTTTTTGTACATTTTATAGCAGAGCATAAAAAACATAAATTGAATGTTGTTGTTTTTTTACTTGTGAATAGTTCTCTTACTCTTGTGATCAAAAATATCGCTCTGAAGCTCAATTCTGTAAATACACTACTCACAAAAAGTTAGGGATATTCGGCTTTCGGATGAAATTTCAGAATGTACATAAAATGCACTATAACCTTTCCAGGTGATCTTAATTTGGACTTCTCTACTTAAATGCCCTATGATGATATATGATGATGATATAATATCACTGTAGCATCAACTTTTTACATTTTCATTAAATTTCACCAGTAGTGTACTTTTCTGATGAAAACAGTAACTTCTGATCAACCTTTATCAATTTCAGACTTAAATTAAAAACTTCAAGATGGTCCTGCCCAGGTCCAGTTAAAGTTTCAGTCATTCTGAGGACAGCTATTTTTGTTGGATACAGATAATAGTGTACTTTTGCAGTACTACTTTTCATCGTACTGATTGTGATGTCTCTAAACTGAAGAAACTTCATCAAGTATAATTATTTATTAACAAACGGCTGCAGCAAAGCACTGTTTACCTGTACATCCATACATCTGTGTTGGTCTTGGGCCAAATCCTAGTCTTAAAAACTAGATCTACATCAATTTGACCTTCTTGTCCCATAGAAACACTAAAATAATACAGCTATGCTGACTGTGTTTCAGATGGGAACCAGTGTCACTCCAACATGTGTGTTCATGGAGCCTGTGTGGATATGTACCAAGCCTACGCCTGCCGCTGTGATCGCGGTTACGAGGGCAAATACTGCGATCAGCGTGAGTCTGGATAAAAAAACGTTACCTAAAAACAAAGTATTTTCTCACTTAACTATTGTAGTGTATAAATTATACATCACTCAACTTTTGTATTTAAAGAAAAGCTCTTGAAACAAAGATTTCCGGTGCTTTCCATTTAAGCATCACAAGCACTTTGACATTAAGTACATTTTAAAAAGTAAACCAATACTTCCCTGATGGTGGTGCTGATTTCATGTGTTGATAACATCTCTCGTATTGTTTGAATAATGACGGACATGATTATCAAAATAGTACCAATACATTTTCTGTCGATGGACTGATATACGAATGTAGAAATGTAAAAGTAAATATCTGTGTCATCTGTTGTCGCTCAGCTCAGACAGCCACCAACTGCTCTGTGGACAACGGCGGTTGTGACCACGAGTGTTCGGAGAGCACGGACGGCCTGACGAGGACCTGCAGCTGTGTGAGCGGATACAATCTGCACGACAACTCCAGGCAATGTGAGCCGAAAGGTGAGAAAATACATGACAACATTTAGGTCAGGTAACTGAGGGATAGAGGGATTTCTTTTCTTTATCAAAACTTCACCTCTACCTGAATGATTTACTAAATGTTCAAATCATCATCCAGCTTCCAGTGAACCTGTGAGTTTAGTAGCTTTACCAGAACCAAATAAACACCTCTGTCTGTCTCTATTTCCCCGGCAGGTACCTCGTCCTGCGGGCAGCTGCTGATTGGCAGGTCGTCGTACACCAAACCGATGGACGGCCTGCTGCCATGGATGGTGGGAGGGGAGGTGGGAAAGAAGGGGGAGAGTCCCTGGCAGGTAGGTGACTTTTACTGTCGCTGCACCTCTGAACTGCTGACACAGACTCACCTGCAACACCTCAGATCAATAACACTCATTGAATCTGGGAAACAACAGTTTTGTATCCCAACACCATCCGTATAGAACAACAGGTGCAGGTTTCATTTGTCATTGTGTGTTGCTCTTAATACCCAAAATAAATAAACTTTGGGGCCCTGGTTTCTGCTGAAAAACAAAAGAAACAAAGAGTGAACCATATCAAATCACATCACACAGAAGCTGATGATAAAACATTGATGCAACCTTCAATAAGCGAATGCCTTACGAAAGCTTCTTTTACCAGATATACTGATAACTAATGTTGGTTTCCTCCCATTATTTCCAATCAAAGGATAGCTGCAGATTTCTGTCAGTTGTTTTTTTGTTTAAACTCCTCTCACTTATTTAAAGTTCCATTAGGACCACAGCACAACTTTTGCTCATTTATTCATGAATGCTGTATTGAATGGTAGAGAGAATGATCTGAAGTTAAGTGCACAGGGGCTTTAAAAGTGTAAATTTTGTGTGCAGGTACTGTTACTGAACGCCAGAGGGCGCTTTCACTGCGGAGGCGTCCTCATCGATGAGAGATGGGTCCTGACCGCCGCTCACTGCCTTGACAACAGCCTGAGATTCAGAGTACGACTGGGTGAGTTTTCACTCTGCAGACAACAAATGCTGAACCCAACAATTTTTTTTATAATCAAAGACTGCAGCAGATCTTATAAACAGTGGGTCAGTGGGCCTCATTATTTAGGATTTCCATTTGTCAAAATGGTTAATCTCAGTTAAGCAAGAAAGGTTCAACACAAACATCCATTCACACACTGCATCTGGCAGCAATCTTTCCATCAGGAAACCGTAAAGTAAAGTAAATGACCTGTGGGTTGTGTTCCATCCTGGTTCTGTCCGGTCGCAGAGCCCAGTTGAGTTGCCCGCTAACGGCAGATACAGTTCACAGCAGTTGATTAGCAGGTAGCTACTTGGGAGAGTAGTTAAAATTTTCTGTCCATCAGGAAACTCTGTAAATCACAGAAAGTTTAAGCTGAGCAGCCGAAGACGAAAATATTTTCTCCATAAACTCTGATCCAGTTCACTAAAATCACTGAATACAGTTAGAAAGTGTTGCTTTTGTACAGTAATAGTGAGGCCAGAGATGTCTGTAATGTCAAAAACACTCACGCAGAATCATAAGAGAGAAAGATATATACAAATATACAAAGTTTAAGGGAAACATCAGAGGTCTCATTCAGCTCAGCACTGGTTGATAGATCACATTGTTCATGCACGTTGCAGTCGAGGGAAATAAACTGGTGACAGGAAACAATAAGGTAGGTACTTACCATCGCTGCTAACCGATATCCTGGGGGAACCCTGTGATCTGTCTCTTCAGGTGACTACGAGCGTCACAGAGATGAAGGCACTGAGATAACCCTCAGGGTCTCAAAAGTCTATAAACACCCCAACTACGACAGCAGGACGGTGGACAACGACATCGCCCTGCTGCTTCTGGAAAACCCCGCCAGCTTATCCGAGTACATCGTTCCCGTTTGTCTGCCAGGACGCGAGATGGCCGAGCGGGTGCTCCACCTTAACGGCACTCTCACTGTGGTGACCGGCTGGGGTAAAGACGACCTGGACAGCACCCATTTCAGCTCGGCACTCAATGTCATCAAGGTCCCGCTGGCTGACCGCGACGTTTGCATCCGCCAGATGGCCCACAACATCTCCAACAACGTCCTCTGTGCCGGGATCCTCGGACAGAGGAAGGATGCCTGTGAGGGGGACAGCGGCGGACCAATGGTCACTCTATACCGTGACACCTGGTTCCTGATCGGCCTGGTGTCTTGGGGTGAGGGTTGCGGCAGGGAGGACAAGCTGGGCATCTACACCAAGGTGTCCAACTATAATGAGTGGATCAACAAAGTGCGCGAAGAATGGGACAAAGGTAATTTTCCACAAGCACCCCCAAGTGTCTGAACCACCTCAGCCCTCAACAGTTGAACCAGTCTGGTCTGTTCAACCCACATAAAGGCCCCTCAGTACAGTAGAGATGAAACACACTTTATAAATAAACTGATTCTGTCTCACGATGCCTCGGTTTCCTTTTTCAGAAGTGAACTTTACTAAAAATAACACGTTGAAGGGCATCATCCTGCTTATACCATGGTTACTGGCCAAAGAAAAAAAATAGACCATTCATTTTTCATGCGTTTTGGTACTGCCTGGGGGTTGTCTAATACCTGGAACAATCATTTTAGCCCATATTTTTCTCTGCAATGACGACTCCAGTAAATAGACAAACCTTAAATACCACTTAGCAATGGTTATTTCTAGTTTATATAGTTCTTCTAGTGACGCCATCAGTTCAAAACTGTAATCTGATTGAATTATTTCATCAACTGTTGGCTGGATTGGTGTGAAATGTATGTTCAATTAATGTTACGTTTGAGGTTAACGTTGATGTGAGAAATTAGTGGTATGCTACTTAACCATTAGCTAGCTAGCGAGCTAGTGTTACCTTGCCTACCTTTTATTTTGAAAATTGACTGGATTCTTTACGCTGTGTCTTTGTTTAACTTCCTGACCTCCTCATCCTGCTGCTTGACAAGAGTGCGTCGCGGCTTTCGTGGCTTCGGTCAAAAATACACCAGCTGCATTTTCTATGTGGAGCAGAGCAGAGAAGCACGACTGAGACGGCCTACTTTTTTCCACTCAGAAGATTTTGCAGGAATTGATAACGAATCTTACCAATAGGCAGAATCATTACTATTGGAATGCCAGTAGCTCCTCATAGGGTGGCGATTGGTCCGGTACCACTGCGGTTGGACACACAACTCCAGCTGCCTCACAACATTACCAGTCCCATAACAAAAACATGATTGTACCCATTTTTAATCATAATGATTTCACAGAAAACACAACGCTGATCACTGAATGATGAACACATAACTTTATTTAACAGACGTTATAGTACAGCAGAGGCTTAAAGGGACGCAGCTTCATGTTCAGGCCTTATGTGTTCGTATGTGCTACAGGCCTTTGTTTGAGCTCTTTTCACACAGCAGGTATACATTACATCGTCACAGACTCATTGAGACACTTACACTGAGGTCTTACGTGGTTTATAATGGCATCTAGTTTAAATTATTGCTTTTAATTCAGGTCTAAATGGCAGCACCACAAAATGAAGAAGACACACCTGAGATTCACAAACATGCACACCAGATTGTGTTCCTGCATCCGGTGGAAAGATAAATATTATCTGTTCCAACTGAATCAGCGTTTTTCACAGTATCAATAATTAATAATTAAACAGCAGCAGCTTTGTGATCCTGCAACATGTATTTTTATGATCAGGAACTTAAAATCTTCCTGATATCTTACAGTGATAACATGTTGCTGCTCATCAAATCTCACTGACAGATGTTCACTACATATTAGAATAATGCGTTTCTTACTGTTTTAAACCTGAGCTCAAGTCTAAGTCTAGTTTAAGACATCGGATGGCTTGTTTTTTTATTTGTCATATATTGAATCAAAAAGTAACTAGACACTGTACAACTAATAAAAAAAACTGGAACTCCTAACTGAAAACCTGTTAAAGGCAGATGTTTCAGGTCTTTTAAAGTAAACTGAAGGCTTAAAGGATCCAAACCTGGACAGCACAAAGTGTTAAATACAGTGACGGTACTTTTCATTGTTATTTCAGAGCTAAATATCCTGTTCATCAACTCTGGTGTTATTGTGGCAGATGAGATCTGCTCAGGTTTGGGATCAGAAGTGAGGAAGTATATTAATGCCGTTTCCTGCATTTCTAAACATTTATATTAATCCAGCAAATAACTAGGATGTAACCGTTTGTGCTTTCCATAATAAAACAAAGACATAGACAAAAACTATTCAAATGCAGTTTAAACTGCAGCATTATTAAAGCACGTATCCTGATTTGTTTCCTTGATCGCTACCATCACATACGTTTTTAAATAGACAAACCTTAAATACGACTTAGCAACGGTTATTTCTAGTTTATATAGTTCTTCTAGTCCTTTACCTCAGCTACGCACCAGAAAGCTAACATTACGCTACGAGCTAGAAAACTAACGTTATGCTACGAGCCAGAGAGCTAACGTTAACACTGTCATGATGACCACTTATGAGTTTCTCCTTTTCTGGGGCAAAAACTCTTCATACACAGACTGAAAGTAGAAACCTGCAGTGTAACATTACCTGTGTTTCTCCTCGGATTACTTCCTGTCTGCGTGTCAGAATACAGGTGAGGTTTGGTCGTCAGGTTCAGGGGATAAAAGTGAAGAGTTTATGTGTTTATGTTACTTTAAGGGATCAGATTAATCCTCCAGATCATACCTACAGAGAGACGCTGACTCTTTGTGTTTAACATTATTTTCTATGGAAATGCTTCCATCTAGAGGTAGAAGGAGGAACTGCAGCCCCAATGTTTTAAAAAGGAGCACAATTTGCCCCTGAAACACAAAACTGAACTCAAGTAAATTCTTACTATGTGTTTTTAAAACAGTGCTTCCCAACTTTGGGGTCACCAAAGCTTCACAGGGGGGTGACAAGGCCTTCTTGATTTTAAAACAATATACACAGTAGGCCGATATCTCAGCATTTCATCTAATTCTGAGAAGAAAACTAAATTAAATTGTTTACTTAGAGAGGAACATAATACAGTCAGAGATATATTTCTATATAGTTATTCTTACTGCCTGCCACTGGGTCGGATTCCCGTCGATATCAATGAAATGAGGCGGAGGAAACACTACTGCTGTTGTCCACAGGGGGCCGCCAGAGTCTACACAGTGAAAGTTCCCTATGGGGCCTTTAAATGAGCTGTATTGTCTAAAAGAGAAAAAGCTCTGGTCACAGTTTTGAAGTCTACATATTTTTACTGACATTTACTGTCACAGCACCTAAACTGTAAAATACACCGTTTATTATTTTCTTTAAAACATAATTTAAAAACATTTTAAATCTCTGAGAATATATTAATATAGTATTTTTAAGTATCTGCTTTTTATTTATTTACACTGTTTTTTAGTACTTTAACTATGTTGTAAGTGCTGTACAAATAAAATAAGGTATATTTTTGCATTAATGCACATTGTACACAGTTAACATTATAGCAGCACTGTAGCTATATTCTTACTTTATTCTTTTTCTATTGCTATATTTCACTGTTACCTCTTTGTAGTTTTTTTATGTGTAGTGGCTGCTGTTACATTTTGTCCCTTTGAGGGTCATTAAAGTTATCTTTTATTTAATGTTTAATTTTGGACACTAAAAGAAGTGAAATGAAGCCCTTAGACCTTCCTGTCTGCCGGGGTTTCCTGTTCAACCTGGAGTTAAAGTCCATGAAGACAGTTAAATATTAGAATATTCAATATCACATATAATACAACAGTTTAGATCAAAACTGACAGGAGTTCAGTTACAGAGTGTGAAGGTGGACAGAGAGGACGCCGTTCACCTGTGGTTGAGGACAATCAGACGGATGTCCAGCTGTCTGTCTGCCTGCCTGCCTGTCAGTCTGTCTCTCCTCGTCTCTTCTTCAGCTCCTGTTCGTACCTCTGCAGCTGGGACAGGAAGCCTGGGTTCGGATCGATCACATGACGAGCTGTCTTCACTTTCTGGGAACAGAAACGAGAGCTGAGTTATTAAATGCTTTTATACTCTCTCACAGATCATAGTGATAATTCTCGAGGACAAAAAGATTTGTGGTCTTCAAAGACTTTGTGTATGAACACTGAGAGTGAATGCTTTTCATTTTATGGATCAGTTTATTTGAGGGGCTGTTCTTTATCTGTAGTCTCTGGAAAGAAAGAGTAACATTATTAATCTGTTATTGGGATCAGAGAATGAGCAGAAAGGTTGCAGTGATTGGACAGAACTGTTAAACTGCAGCTTCCTGGATGGACTGAGATTTACCCTCCAGACATTTTACTCTCACAGGAACAAGCTACCTGGCAATTTTTCACTTTCTCAGGCAATGTCATTGAAAAAAAAATTCCTCGGCATCCATTCCACTCACCGTAATGTTCATTTGGCCAAAGGTAACGGTTTAAATCAAGTAGAATGTATCTTGTTTTACAGATTTGAGTGAGGAGCTGAAGTACTATTGAAAATAGTAACATAGATTATTTCCAGGATTTTTTAATATTTTAATAAATGCTCAGGTGTTTCCATGACTGGAAAACAAGTCTCTAAATTTCCAGGTTTTTCGGGGCCTGTGGGGACCCTGAAACTCTTTCCCATCCCTACAGCTGTAGGGTCCAAACAGCACATACACAATGTAAAATACATGAATGAAACAATGAAAGACCTTCATGCAGATACACGACTGCTCGCTTTAAATGAAGACTGACTATAAAAATATTCAGTCCGACTATGTCAAATAGCTGATGAGTTGAACTTTGAGCGTGAACGCAGACACTGAGCAGCAGTGTGCTGCTCGAGGGCACCTTGGCAATTCGATACACTGACTGATTTCAGGACCAGCTTCAGTTTCAGCAGACTAACTGCTGTAGTTTAAACACAGTCAGATATTTTTGACCTTCGAACAGGATGAATGTGCGTTTGGCAGCAGCTCAGAGATCAGTGAGACGTGTTCAGAATCTCTACTGATAGAAACTGTTCAATAAAGACACTACTGATAGAAACTGTTCAATAAAGACACTACTGATAGAAACTGTTCAATAAAGACACTCTACTGATAGAAACTGCTCAATAAAGACACTACTGATAGAAACTGCTCAATAAAGAGTCTCTACTGATAGAAACTGTTCAATAAAGACACTACTGATAGAAACTGTTCAATAAAGACTCTCTACTGATAGAAACTGCTCAATAAAGACTCTACTGATAGAAACTGCTCAATAAAGACTCTCTACTGATAGAAACTGCTCAATAAAGACACTACTGATAGAAACTGTTCAATAAAGACACTACTGATAGAAACTGCTCAATAAAGACTCTACAGATAGAAACTGCTCAATAAAGACTCTACAGATAGAAACTGCTCAATAAAGACTCTCTACTGATAGAAACTGCTCAATAAAGACACTACTGATAGAAACTGCTCAATAAAGACTCTACTGATAGAAACTGCTCAATAAAGACACTACTGATAGAAACTGCTCAATAAAGACTCTCTACTGATAGAAACTGCTCAATAAAGACTCTCTACTGATAGAAACTGCTCAATAAAGACTCTCTACTGATAGAAACTGCTCAATAAAGACTCTCTACTGATAGAAACTGTTCAATAAAGACACTACTGATAGAAACTGTTCAATAAAGACTCTCTACTGATAGAAACTGTTCAATAAAGACTCTCTACTGATAGAAACTGTTCAATAAAGACTCTCTACTGATAGAAACTGTTCAATAAAGACTCTCTACTGATAGAAACTGTTCAATAAAGACACTACTGATAGAAACTGCTCAATAAAGACTCTACTGATAGAAACTGCTCAATAAAGACTCTCTACTGATAGAAACTGCTCAATAAAGACTCTCTACTGATAGAAACTGCTCAATAAAGACTCTCTACTGATAGAAACTGCTCAATAAAGACTCTCTACTGATAGAAACTGCTCAATAAAGACTCTCTACTGATAGAAACTGTTCAATAAAGACTCTCTACTGATAGAAACTGTTCAATAAAGACACTACTGATAGAAACTGTTCAATAAAGACTCTCTACTGATAGAAACTGTTCAATAAAGACTCTCTACTGATAGAAACTGTTCAATAAAGACTCTCTACTGATAGAAACTGTTCAATAAAGACACTACTGATAGAAACTGTTCAATAAAGACACTACTGATAGAAACTGCTCAATAAAGACTCTACTGATAGAAACTGCTCAATAAAGACTCTACTGATAGAAACTGCTCAATAAAGACACTACTGATAGAAACTGCTCAATAAAGACTCTCTACTGATAGAAACTGCTCAATAAAGACACTACTGATAGAAACTGTTCAATAAAGACACTACTGATAGAAACTGCTCAATAAAGACTCTACTGATAGAAACTGCTCAATAAAGACTCTACTGATAGAAACTGCTCAATAAAGACTCTACTGATAGAAACTGCTCAATAAAGACTCTCTACTGATAGAAACTGCTCAATAAAGACACTACTGATAGAAACTGCTCAATAAAGACTCTACTGATAGAAACTGCTCAATAAAGACTCTCTACTGATAGAAACTGCTCAATAAAGACTCTCTACTGATAGAAACTGCTCAATAAAGACTCTCTACTGATAGAAACTGTTCAATAAAGACACTACTGATAGAAACTGCTCAATAAAGACTCTCTACTGATAGAAACTGTTCAATAAAGACACTACTGATAGAAACTGTTCAATAAAGACTCTCTACTGATAGAAACTGTTCAATAAAGACTCTCTACTGATAGAAACTGTTCAATAAAGACACTACTGATAGAAACTGCTCAATAAAGACTCTACTGATAGAAACTGTTCAATAAAGACTCTCTACTGATAGAAACTGTTCAATAAAGACTCTACTGATAGAAACTGCTCAATAAAGACTCTCTACTGATAGAAACTGTTCAATAAAGACACTACTGATAGAAACTGTTCAATAAAGACTCTCTACTGATAGAAACTGTTCAATAAAGACTCTCTACTGATAGAAACTGTTCAATAAAGACTCTCTACTGATAGAAACTGCTCAATAAAGACTCTCTACTGATAGAAACTGTTCAATAAAGACTCTCTACTGATAGAAACTGTTCAATAAAGACTCTCTACTGATAGAAACTGTTCAATAAAGACTCTCTACTGATAGAAACTGTTCAATAAAGACTCTCTACTGATAGAAACTGTTCAATAAAGACTCTCTACTGATAGAAACTGTTCAATAAAGACTCTCTACTGATAGAAACTGCTCAATAAAGACAATAAATGAGATCAGAAACAGATTCACCTGCAGGTTAATGACGGATGTTTAATCACCAGCAGCTCCCAGCATTTAACGGCTGGAGACCTCACATCGCTAGAGCGGCACAGCTTAATTGATTAGTGGTAAACTATTAAATTATTTACCAACTTAATAATCGATGAATCACTTTGAGTCATTTCTTAAGAAGAACATTTCCAAATTCTCTGATTTCAGTTTTTTAAATGTGAATATTTTCTGGTTTCTTTGTGACAGTACACTGAAAATCTTTGTGGACAAAAGAAGACATTTGACGTTCGCTCCAGGACGGATCGCAAACAATTAACAATAAAATTCAACTGATCACTGAGATGTTTAAGGTTTATTCTACAGCAATGCATCATATTCTATAAGATCATCATATGTTAGTCCAAACAGTTTCAGCTTCAGGATGATGTATTTCCCAGCTCAACAGGTTGTTGGGGGTTTATTTAGTGTCATTTTGCTGCTGAAAAACCTACCAGAAGCAAATGAAGCCTGTTGTGTTAGAATTCCTGTAATCCAGAGCCTTTTTGGTGACTGTGACCACTTCTGGTTTTTATTCTCACTGGAACAAGCTACCTTTGATATTTAATGAATTATACAAAAAAATAATTCCAACTATTTGTGCTTTTCATTTCCTTCGGCAATTGTTTTTGCAAAAAATGTCTAAAAACATCACAACATGCATCGACATCAGGCAGTTTAGGCCGCAACAATCCCAAAATAACTCCTGTTAAATCCTGGAGGGAACGATTTGAGGACGTCACCTTGAGCTTTTGGAAAGAATCAACATTTTACCTGACTGGTCAAACTAATGACACAGCGGATGTTCCTCCTAGAGCTGTCCCTGACTAAAGACTCTCCTGGTGGACTAGCAGTTGTTACATAAAGACGACAGCCTTGGACAGAGGCTGTGGCGTCACCATGGAGACCAAACACCTCGTGGAGTTGGTGTGACTCACCTGTATAGCGTCCGTCAGCGTCAGTTTGCGGTGTTTCATCAGGTAGGCGATGCAGACGGTGGCTGAGCGGCTGCGTCCGTTCTTGCAGTAGACGACGCTGCGTCCTCCGCGGTTCGCCTCCTTCTGGATGGCGTCGGCGCAGCGGTCGAAGTGGCTGTAAAGGTCCTCGTTGGGGTCATCGTAGACGGGGATCTGCAGCTTCTTGATGCCGGCGGTGGGGAACGGCTGCTGCTTGGACACGTTGATGCAGAGCGTCACCGCCTCCTGCTGGATGAGCTCCTCGCTGCAGGCCGAACGGGCGTTGCTGATGAACAGAGCCTTGGTGACTTTACACAGCTGCAGCATCCTGGAAGATCTGACCCTCGCGGGCTTCCTTACTCCGATGTTCAGGCAACTGCGACCTGGTCGGAGAGAGGAGCATGAAAGTGAACTTCAGAGGCCTCTGACTGTATCTACTGCTGAGTCTTCATGTTGTCTGAGTGTTTTCTGAACCCATTTCCAGCTGTTGTATCTTCTCCAATGGGAAACTCTCTTTTTCTTGCAGTTTAATATCAGTTTAATATATATAATATATTCTCTCTCTGTACAGTACAACTCAACCTGCCTTTATTGGAACAACTAAAGCTGCAATAAATCCATTTAAACCAGAGGAAACTTACATATCACATACACAACTCAAGCATAAATTAAATGTATTATTATTATTATTATTATTATTATTATTATTATTAACAACATTTGAAGTGATTCATTTATCCACATGATATATGATATCACTTCCTGTTTTTAATCCAACGTACAGGAAGTTTAAAACTTGCACAAACTTTTCATACAACTTTTTATCAGGAGGATCCAGTTATTCTACGTATAACCTTTCGGTGATCGGACTCACTGCCCCAAGCTCATTCAGGCTCGGGCCCCTAATTAAATCTATTTTTGACACATCACAGAGAAACAACGAGGTGCTGCGTCAGCACATTTAAGCACTCCTGATGAAAGATAAAATAATATCTGATCACCTTTATTACAAATACAACACCAGTTCTTTCTGAGTTCATTACATTGTTTGGGCTTCTGTTGTCTCAACAAACAACAACAAACAACCACAATCTATACAGACATTACAATAAAATGTTATATGTAGATATGAAAGTTTGGGGTCCTATATACAGATAAACACACGCACTGATAATGTCTGATAACGGTGTCGGTCAGTGAACGCATCACCCTCAACAAGGACAGAGTGACTCACGTGCAGCTGCTGATCAGCCTCGTGCTCTCTTCACACAAACCCTCAGCGCGGGTTTTTAGATTCAAGAGTTTCCTGTGGAGCCCCTGCAGACTGAGGACGGGGCGTTCAGCTGGGTCCGGTCCGTCCAGGTCTCCTCATGACCCCGAACTGCTCCGGTCGACACACCGCCGCTTTATCCACTGCACGGAGCCACAGCGGCTCTGCTCCGGGTCCTAGTGCTGGTTGGGTTATGGTGCAAGGATTCAGCTGCTTTAGTGAAGTAAAAGTAATAATTTAATTTAATTACACACTGTGGAAGTCCTGCATTCAACCCTCAAGGGTCCAGAGTGGAAACTGTAAAACCAACTGACAGTGTAAGTTCATTAAACTATAAACTAATCAGTCATATGCAGCATTTCTCCAAACTTATTTAACTTATTTAAATTTATTTGAATACAGTTTTCTTTATTTACAAAAGAAACAAATTATTACATTATCTGACGAAACCGATAATGTAACACGCAACAACAAGTGCAATTAATCAATTATCTTAATGGCAGTCGATTCATTATCTGTGTATCAACTAATAAAATTGTTACTGCTGTAATGAAGTTGTTAACTATAGTCGACTTTATGTGACCAGCATCAAATCTTTGCACTTGATGATTAAGAATAATTTGGATGCATAAGGATTTTAATAATGACGTTTGTGTAGAGTTTAAAGTCAACTTAAAGAACGGCAATGGAACAAAATACTGCACGCATTTAAGTTCACTAAAACAACAGAGTTCATCTTTGAGTTGGGTTTAATTCATGAGATGGATTATAATATTTATATGTTTTCATTAGCGGGTCGCCTTCTGTGGAGTCCGCCATGTTTCTACTGGAGCCCAGAAGGGACAAACCATCGACATATAATAATAATAATAATAATAATAATAATAATTTAATTTGTAAAGCACTTTTCAAGCTTAAGCTATAAGTGCTTTCCAGATTAAAACATATACAGATCAGAAACCAGGAGTGACACTCCGTACCGGCCAGTATATAAATATAAACATAAATATAAACATTTAAAAAAAACAATGAAACAATTAAAATACATTACGGGATGAAATAAAACACCATAGAATAAATGAAAGGTAATAGTGTCGACCATCTCGTGGAGCTGCCGTGGAGCCAGAGCTGAAGACACAGGGTCACCTTTGGTCTTCTGATCAGCTGATCTGAAGGTGAAATATAAAATATCCCTGATGCAGCCGCCGCCATCTTTCACCATTCGGAGCCAGAGTGTGTGCAGTAGTGACCCGGGTTGGCGCTGCTGTATCGAGGTCCCGCCCATACAGTATCACCATACAAATATTCTCATACGAGTTTATTAGTTTAGTTTCCTCTGCAGGTTAATTTCTGTAGAAATAAAGTCAGAAAATGGACAAAACAAACTGATGAAAAGTACAAACATGAACAAACCTTTTCTTTAATATAACAAACAACAAACAAACATAAAAATCTGTCAGTGACGACAAAATACGAAAACAAGTGAAGGAAGTGATTTTATTGTTGCGGTTGAAAATTCGTCACACATGCAAACAGCGATGTCGAAGCCGTGTATCATCAATATTTTATTAGCAAACCAGAGAGAAGTTAACAAAAAAAAACTGAAGGAACTGAACAATCTGTGTTTCTGTAGTTTCTGTACAGGTCCAAATATACTACAATATATACTATTATACAACTGGATTACAATTCATGTCATTAGTACAGCAGTCACAAAGAAAAACTTCAAGTCCGTTACAGCAGTGTTTTGATTCGTCCGAGTGACCGAACGACTCACTGATGATGATTCACGTGAAGCTAATATGAGCATGCTACGCTAACATTCCCTCTTTTCCCTCCAACAAAGTGCTGAATCTTTAATTTGTTCACCTCAACGGCAAAATAAACCTCAGACAACCGGAAAAAAACAAAGACACTGTGATTCACATTTTGAGACTGAGATTTGTTTTCGCCAAAAAAAACACAAAAGTCAAAAGGAAAGCTACGTTCACACCGCGAGCTCTAGCGCTCAACTCTGATTGGTTGCTCAGATCGGAAATGTGGACAATATCAGATTCTTGATATCGTGTCCTGAACTATAATTACGGAAAAATGATGAGTAAACTCTAAAAAGTGATAACTGAGTTTGCTTTATCCCCACTACACCTCTGCTCCGTAGCTCTCTAGCTAACCTGTTTACCAGCAGCAATATTTGTTGACCAATCTCTCTCTTCATGCCTAAACCTAACCAATCAAATCAATGAAGGCAACAAAACTAGCCAATCAGAGGAAGAAGAGGGCGGGTCGTGACTTTGCCAGCGTAGCAAACATCATCAAAACAGGAAGTAGTAAAGTAATAAAGCCCGCCTCGTGCTTGATTTGATTGTGTGACGGTTCGACTCCACGAGCTGAAAAGTTCAGAGTATTTGAACTTTTATACGCGTCTAAAAACTGCTAGAAAAACGTGACGTGAGACGAGTGAACGCCAGGCGCGCCGTAGCAGAGGAAAACAAAGATTTTGCTGGCGTCTGTAGCGATGATCGACCTTTAAGACGTCAAAGGCAGAATGTCGTCATACGGGAGTAAACATGGAGGCCACTGAAGGCAACGTGTACAGTTTCATTTATAAGTTGATGTGCAGTGGAAGCCAGATAATGATGAGGAGGATAACATCCACCGCAGCTGAGTGACTCTAGAGCAGTGGTTCTCAAACTATGGTACTAGTCGTACATGGAGGAATTTCTGAAATATTTTTATAAAATGTAATAAAATAATTAAAAAAACACGGTACTATCAAAGCTCTCCAACATTTCATATAAGTTTTGCATTTAGTTTAATATTTAGATTCAATATCAGTCTGCTATGTAGCACACGCATATGTCCATGATTAGTCAGGAGCTAAAATGTGATATTTAGATACAGGGCGGAGGTCAGATTAGTGCTTCAGAAACACTTACGTGGCTCCAAACAGGACAGGAGGACCCATTTTACACCAAATTAGCTCTGGTTCTTGAACCGGTTCCATTCAGGATTTAACAACAGTCAACAATAAATAATCTTGTGCTGAATAAATCTGCCTCCTGTGTGATTAAAGTCGACCTACGCTGCTGTATTTTAACCTCGGTCATAACGGTGGTAATACTTCCTGAGGTTGAACGTGGTTTGAGAAACGCTGCTCTGTAGTCTCATGAATGAAGGAGTCTCAAATTGGAAACTGGAAAAGATCCGATTCAATGTGATTTGTGTTGTTTACACTGAAAATCAGATCTGAGTCACAAAAAAAGAGGAAAAAATAAAAAATAAATCAGATTTGGGCCACTTGTGTCTGCAGTGTGAACGTAGAGATTTTTAAGGTCATTTAAAGTTCAAATGGAGTTTGAGGTAAAAGGAACACAGTTCAAAGTAAAACAATAAAGAACCTCAATATCAAACAAATTAATGTTACAAAATGAGCAGATTTTAAGGCCTGACGATCAGTTCCTCCAACAGGTGTGGAAAAACTGTTTGATGGCAACAAAAGTGTAAACTGACCTTTAACCATTTTAAAGGAGGAGTTCAACATTTTGGGAAATAATTGTGATTGATACCACAAATATGAGGCGGCTGCTAGCAGCTGGTTAACTTAGCTTAGCATAAAATATTAGGATCAGCACTAACAAACAAAAACAAGTGTAAGAGCCAGGCTAGCTGTGTCCATCTGTTTCCAGTCTTCTGGCCGCTATGCTAAGCTAAGCTAACCTGAGAGTATTGAACCCTCAGCTAGAAGGAGAATAAGCATATTTTCCAAAATGCCGAACTGTTCCTTTTACAGTTCCTGAAGCCTCTGTGGTTCAAATAAAACTCGATCGAAAGCTAAAAAGGGCTCGCTGTAACGACACAAGCCACAAAGGATGCTGGGAGAACAGTCGCCGAGAGTCTTTATGTGGGAAACACTTTCTGAACTCACAAAACTTTTATCAAAGTCAGAATTCAGAATTCAGACTACTTTTAAACTTCAAACTATATTTTTCCACATGTGGCCCTAATCCTCGTCCATATATTTATAGATTTAGGTTTTTGGGTTGTTGTTTTCTTTTTGGAAGTTCAGTGAGATTTTCTTTTGCATAGGACAGCAGCTTATTTACCAAATATCAGCTCCACATAGTGTTTCAGTGAACCTGGTTCATCTTTGGCCACATTCTGCTTTTAAATTGGAGGTTTCAACCAATGACGGTAAAAGATCACATTACACAAAAATAAAAATAAACCTCATGAAGCTTTCAGCCGTTTTCAACAGAGCAATCACTCAATCATCACTCACTCTCTCACTCTTTCTTTCCACTGGCCAACTTTAACTGCTTTTAGCAACAAACATTTACAGTAAACATCACTTTGGAAAAAAAAAAAGGAAAATAAATGATGAGTTTTCCTTGAGTAAAGAAACTCTTTTTAGTAACGTGATCCACTAATGTGTGTGTTTTTATTTTTTTTGGTTTTTAGATGTGAAGCACCTCATTCAACCGCCCTGTAACTCACTCACAAATTCACTTTAAGAGATCCTCCACAAGGGGGAGCTGTTTACTCACAGCTGGAGTCACTTTTATACCTTCAGCTTTCATTGCTTCCAAAAAAAAAAAAAAAAAAAAGTTTTCTTCCAGTTTCTAAAAGTTCTCATGTTTCCCAAAAATATCCCCCAACAACCTGGAGGTTTCTCTCCAAAGTATAACATCAATCTGAAGAGAAACTTCTGTAGGTATTCAACCTCTACAGCTCCACCGCTCCTTTAAAAGTGCTCCTCTGGGAAAGATTATTTTATTTTGTTCAACTGTTTAAATTCAAACGTCCATTTCAGTACATTTTATGTTTTTTTTGTGGTGTTTCAGGTTTTCTGATGGAAAGAAACCCAGGTGGATCAGAGGCTGTAGAAGAGCTTTAACATTGTGCCATCTGCAGGTAATGAGTGTTACAGACAGTGTAAAACACGTCTGAACATTTTTATAAATGAACATTTGATTTATTTCCCTCTAAATGTGAGTTTAGTTCAACACTTTCTTTCCTCTGACATGTAAAGGCCTTTAATCCCACTAAAGCTATACTTCAGATCTTCAGAATAAAAGACAGAACTTAATCAACTATGGAAGCGAATATAGATATAAGTACTGACATTTTAACAACCACTGAATTTGTAGCACTGAAATATTTTACATTGTTCTGAATTCATCACAAATCTTCAAAAGCTCAATTTAAATATTTATTTTTCAGTGTTCACAAATTAAGATCCAAAAAGTCAAAAACAGGAGAAGCAATCGGGCCAATCAGAGCTCTGTCTGTCGGTCATATGACCTAGAAACCTGTTGAACTGAAACCTGTTGTGAAACAAACTGGACATAGCGGAGTTTCAGTTGGACTCATCGAAATTTAATTTTTCTATCTAATTTTGAACAATCGAATCTGAGACTTTTTTTTCTTCTTGAAATTCAGAAAATTTCAAAGAGGAGAATTCAGAACAAATCAATTAATATAGATGGTTTTCAAAGTATGAATTCAGGAGTGTTTAAATATCAATATTAAGTGCTTATGTCTTTAATTTGCTTCCATATCAAACTACAGTAATTATTTCTGTCCACCACGCAGAGCTCAATTAATAATCTTCTCAAGGTTTAATATTGCTTTAGTTGTCATTATCAAATATTTTTCATAAGGAAATTTAAATGTGGTTATAAAGGAGTTGTGTAAACCTCAAATAGCCGACAGATACGTGATGTTCTATTAGAGGTTAATAATGTTGAGGCTTAAACCTCGAACGCAAACACTCTCTACCTGCAGGCGGTAGCTGTTCGGGGCTCTGGAGCTCGATTCAGGTGCTTCACATCAGCATTTCAGAAAACAAGAGCATTAAATGTAAGTGGTGACTGTTGGGTTGGGGGGGGCTGCAGTCAAGCAAACGCAGTGTTCTCCCCGTCCTCAGACAGGCGGACGGACGGGCAGATTGTGGCGATGAAGGCGCTGATGCGTACAGAGGCTGGTGCACTCGGAGCGTGCACTTTGATGGAAGCATGTTGGCGGGTTGAAGCTGCTGGCGACCAGCAGCTCTCCTCCTGGTGGTGGATTAAGACTCAGAGGATTCTTCTATCTACAGGAATGCGTCTCGCACGTGAACCCGAGCTGGTGGGGGGGTTTATCGCCCGCGGACATCAGTGCGTTTACAGCGAGAGGGTTAGACGTCTGCAGGTGGGACTCGCAGGGCTTAAAGATACAAACCCTGTCAGCACTCCGCGATGTATTGCAAGACGGTCGTGTACGATACATCATCAACGGAGGAGAAAAACGTATCCTAAAAGAGGCAAAATAATTTCTCTCAAAAAGCAGGAATCAATCAGGTGTTTATTACTTACTGCATTGTGAAGTGGACAGCTGAGATGAGAAAGTCCCAAAGTGCATAGAGTTTAAACACACGGTAACACCGCTGTGATATCGGTGCCAGAGTATGGATGATGTATCGCAGAGAGCGTGTCACAATATATCGCCTTACGGCTCGTCGTCCCACCCCGAGTCTGCAGCGATGCGAGGACGGTCGGCTCGCTCTTTAGTCATGCAGTAAAGACAACGAAACACGATGAAGACCAAAGCTTTAGGATCCGACCTGAGGCGTTATGACCCAGAGGTGCCGGCGAGGCGAGGCGGGCGGGGGGGGCACTGAGGGGCCAGGAGTGATCAGGAGTGATCCATGGGTTCGATGGCGTTGCTCTGCTCGGCGTCCTGACTCTCCATCTCCTCCAGTTCCTCCGCCTTCCCGTCTGGTTTGCCGACCGCTGCTGCTGCTGCGCCTGCTGCAGCTGGAGGTTCGTGGTCGACGGTGGACGTTGGTTGGCCCGCGCCCGACTTAGTCCCGCCTGTCCGCTCCTGGTCGGCCCCGCCCCCTGCAGCAGCGGCGCTCTGCTGCTCCTTGAGGTGGCGCTCCATGGAGGCCTGGATGGAGGAGACCATCTCCTGCAGCTTCCTTCGCTGCTGCTCCATCAGGCTGGGGTCCAGACCACGACCGTCCTTCATGGTGACGAAGCCCGGAGCCATGCGGACCAGCTCCCTGGTGGCGTCCTCGGGGATGTCCGATAGGTCTGGCGGGCCTCGGGACACGCTGGCGCTCAGGTCCACACCGCTGCTGTGCTGGCGTGTGATAGGTCGGTGTTCTGGAGGGGAGGAGCCCCCGGCGCTGCCCAGGGAGTGTCCTTTCCCCTGGAAGGCGGTGACGTTCTGCAGCTGCTCCTTCTTACGGACGACGCCGCCGCTGCCCAGCCGCAGGACGCCATGGGACGGACTCCCCTCTCTGCTGCCCCTGGTGGCCGCCTCCGAGCGCAGCTGGACCAGAGCCTCCTTCACCAGCTCCTCCACGTCAGGGCCGACAGGGAAGTGACCGGCAGCGTCCACGCAGAGCTCCAGACGCTCCTCTGCTGCGTTATAAACAAACGTTTTCCCCGTCAGGTGAGGCAGCGTGCAGTGTTTCCCGTCCATCAGGCCTGAAAGAGACGACAGATTCAAACATCTTTATCCTTCTGGTCGAATTCTGCAGGAATGACTCTTCTTTATCATAATGTAGTTATTGATTACCCAATAACCTGCACGTTGTCATCTGAAATCAGAATCATTTATCAATAATGTTTTTATTATAAATCTAAGAAAGCTTGTTTCAATTAGAGCCTAATTAATATATCCGATATTAACCTATTGCAGACATCGTTATCGTATTGGAATCAGTGTATATGTCATCTGATATGCAGCAATTTTCATTAATGCTTTATTCTCTCAGGGTTTGTTTCTAGAAGTGGTGGATAATGTAATCTGTATGTTCTATTATCAAACATGTAAAGGAATATTTAATTAAATACTCGCACTCTGCCTTCTGTTTCATGTGGCCTTCAAAGACCGTGGGAAAATGTGGGTCCCAAGGTGAGACCACAATCATGTAGTGTACTGTGAAGCTCTACTTGCTCATAATAAAGAACATTATTAGTTAGTTAGTAGTTAGTTTGATGAAAGTGCAAGCAGATCACAGCTTTCACTCAGTGTCATCATCAGCAAGAGGAAAGGTGGCAGGTTTTTCCGGGAAGCCTCTGAAAAGAAGAAAACCCAGACCCCCCCCGTGTGGAGACAGACGTACCCATGTCTTTCTTCACAATGTTGTAGAAGACGCCGCCCTGCTGGAACAAGTGCGGCAGCTTCTTTGCGTACGACCAAACATCCTCACCTGGAACAGAGAGAGAATCCGGTCACACAAACAGAGTCAACGAAGACCACAGCGGTCACGTTTCAAAGTCTATTAAGATGAAGTGAAACCAGCCCTGTCTGCTGAGGAGGTTGAATGTCTTAATATAACTACTGTTTTTCCGGTCTTATTTTTGTAGTCCTGTCAGTTATTTTACTCCCCAGGTTCGTCTTTACAACGGTCAGTAACAGCAACATGAGACAGGCAGACGAGTGTGAAACAAACCTTTAACACAGTGAAACCACTGATCTGGAAGTGAAACAGAAAGTGAACATGTAAACTGAAACACGTGTAATGTGAAGAAAGAGGAAAAATATTAATTTCTGTTTAATTTTTCAGACGTATGTCTAATATTTGCTTGTTTTAGGTATTTCCAGGTCTTTGGGCTTGTAAAGTATTTTCAAATGAAAATTTGAAGAGAAAATAATTCTTTAAACTTGTTGAACTCATGTGGTAAGGATGAAATATTACTTTGTTTTAAACATACAGTCTGTAGTTTCTGCCACTAGGAGGTTTCTCACATCCAAACAATAATAAAATAAAGTGTGATGAGGTGGTGAAGCAGCGTGGGATCATGGGAGTTGTTGTCTTCACCACCATTGGCGTCATTGCAGTCAGCTTCTCCCGGTTAGGATTCCTTCAGTGTTCATGGTTCAGGAGGTTTCTACCGGGAGCCCAATGATCCACAGAGGTCTCCTCCTCTCCAACACAAACAGACCCGCTGATTAAAACCACTAAACACTTAGCTCAGCTTGTTTCTCTGATAACTTAAGATCCAGACGTCCGATGACTAAAATCCTTCATCCGGTTCAAACCTAGAGTTAAAAAGCACCAAGATCTAAACAGTGGATGGTAAACATGTCTGCCATGTTTCTACAGTAGCCCAGAACGGACAAATCAAACACTGGCTCTTTAGGGCCTTTTGGGGCCACCGTAGTTTCTCCTACACAGAACAGGAGGGTGAATGCGAGGGGGTTGTAATCTGTAACTACAGCGTTAGATGCCAATAAATCCTTCACACTGGTGAGTCTGCGCTGAAACACACTTAAAAGATTTATATATTATCGTTCAGCTCCACATTCAGGTATCAGAATCAGATCAGAACCGATATAAGTGGATCTGGAACATGAGTGAACAGATATAAACCGTCTCCTGATCCTCTCACTGTGAAGGATTATCGAGCCCTCGCTAACAGGAAGTGCAGCGTCAGGCCTGCGGAGCATTCAGAGTGCACATGAAACCTTCCTGAATATTGACAGACGCTGACTGTTGGCCGGCTGATCTGTTTATCTGAACGCAGCCGCGACCTTTGACCCTGTTGGCGGGGGTGAGACAGGGTGCCTGAGTCAGCAGCATGTTGAGAGGATACACACACACACACACACACACACACACACACACACACACACACACACACACACACACACACACACTCTTCTGGTAGCATTCAGGGCAGCTGATCAGAAACAGGAGCAGCGTTGGGCGTCACCTGCAGCCTGTGAGCTCCATCAGCTGATACCTGCAGGTTGTTGTTCACCTGCCTGCTGTGACCAATCAGGAACCAGAGTGTGTGAAACAGTTCCTGCCTGCTCACACCGAGAAATAAATAACAACAGTGTCTGAGCGCCTCGGAGCATTCGTTCCCAGAGGTTTTATTTGAGTTACTCAACTGAATGGACGTATTAAAAATGTCTTTGTTTTACTGATTATTATATTATTATGATGAAGTTCTGTTGTTCTTCTTTGTTACAGAACTCAACAAATGTTTAATCTTTTTTTATTCAGTGAAAATGAAAATTGTGAAGCAGTAATACTAATTTCCACTAATCGTCAATAATATTGTAATATCTGTCAGAACCGTATCGATCAGCCTTATTTTAAATGTCTGTCCTGTTTCATATCACCTGACTGACCGTTCACTCTTAGTGTTTCACTGATAAGTTCTAAAATAATCAATAGAATAATCAATGATGAATAAAGAATCATTAGCTGCAGCCTCAGTTCAGTTTACAGACTTTATCTGGATCATGTGAATCAGTTTATCTCAGAACTAGAAACACTAAAAGTTTCACGGAGACCTCGGGGGGAGACCTAGGGGGAGACACATTCTTACCCATCAACGTTGCTAGGAGACAGAGGGAGGACATCTCAAGGTCGATGCTGTCCTGGAGTTCCCGGCTGCTCACCCTGCCGGACGTCACGGTGTCCTCGCTCTTTGCCGAGTGCAGGGCAGAGTGCGAGCTGGAGGCCCGGGGGATGGAGGCGGTGGCAGGGCTCTTGTCCTCGGGGCCCCTCAGTATCTCCACCGTCACCCTGTCGCCGTGCTGCAGCGCTGCCGGCTCGTTCTCCTCCCCGTCCTTCGGCGGGAGCAGCTCTTTGGGCGGGAAGCCGTAGCGGATGCACTGCTGCGCCGGCGGTACGCCGAACTGGTTGGCGATGCTCCTCTGCAGCTCTGAGAAGGTGGTGTCAGCCTGCAGGGTCAGCATGGCCTGCCTGCCGTCGCTCGTGGTCACACGGATCTTCTTCTCCTTATTGGACGAGGATGGAGAGGAGGATTTGGTGGGCGTGGCCGGGGCTGACGAGGAGGAGGTTTCCGGTGATCCGCCGGGCGAAGACGTCCGGCCGTGGCCTTTCTGCTCCTGCTTCAGCTTGTCGGTGCGTCGCTTCTGAGTGACGAAGGCCTGCTCGCTGATGCTCTGCTGGATGCTGCGCTCCGCTCGGCTCATCGTCAGCTCCTCTTTGTGGAGCGTCTTTGCTTTCTGACCCGTGAGGATGATCTTGGTGGGCGGCTGGGGGTCCGCCGCCGACTGCGTCTCCACGGTGTCGGTGAGACGCTGGACGTGCGCCCCGTCGATGGACACCGGGTTGTATTCGTCCGGGTTCTTCTTGGCGGTGTGGTGCAGGATGGTGTTGACTACCTTCTGCACCAGGATCTCGCTGCCAAACTCCCCCGGGAAGTGCTTGGTGACCAGCTTCATGGCCACGTCGTACACGTTGCTGTTCAATGCCGGGTCGGTCTCGTACTGGAACCAGTACACGGTCTCTCTCACCACCCGACCCCCCCACTCCAGCGTGATGGGGAAGGCCTCGGGGAGGTTGTCGTACTCCTTCCCCTCCCAGAAATGCTTGAAGCCACACCCGCACTTTCCGCCCTGCGAGCGGGTGTTGGTTCTGTCCCCGTCCAGGTACACCACCGACCCGTTGCCGTGGATGTGGCGCATTGACGTCCCGTGACACCAGTTGCAGGTGTTGAGGGAGCTCAGTTTATAATCCGGGACGAGGACGTCTCTCTGCGGGTCGTACGAGCAGACCACGTTGTTGAGGGGGAAGCTGTAGTTCTTGTCCGGCCGCAGTTGGCCGTGAGTGGATTTGGCCAAGTTGTAGAGCTTCCCGCCAGGAACCAGCCACTCCGGCGGGACGTGGAGCTCCGAGAGGGCGCCGCAGATGAGGCAGCGGTGCAGCCGGTTCTCCATCACCGACTTCTTAGCCGCCTCTGTCACCTCCTCGGGCTGGATGCCGATCACGCCGGTCCGCCTGTAGACGTACTGGTGCACATCGGCCACCAGCGACGGGTGGATGTTGTGTTTCTCCATGAACACCTCCTCCATGGCGTTCACCAGCCGCATCAGATACTTATCCTGCAAGCTGCGGTCGCCGCCGATCACGCAGCTCCCGTCCGGCTCCAGCTTGATGTACTTCCTGATGAGCTCCTGAGGGACGCCCCAGGCCTTCGGCAGCAGGCGGGCCGGCAGCTTGGGCAGCACCGTGTTCTTGATTCCCACCAGAGGGATGTAGTGGTTCCTCCCCGAGCTGCTCCAGGCGATGCAGATGGGCTTGTTGAGCTTCCCGTCTTTCCCCTTGCACTGCTCCTCGGGCACCAGGCCCGGCAGGAAGGTGGCCGAGTAATCCCCGGAGCTCCTCATCCCGCTCAGGGAGTCCAGCAGGATGATGGGCCGGTGGAGGACGTTGGCTAAACCGAAGATGTGGATGTTGCGCAGCCCGAGCGGCACGCCTTCAGGCGGGATGAAGAGCGGGTCGCACTCATTGATGATGTCCTCCCACTCTGCGGCGTCAATAAAATCCTGAAAGAGAGCCTTGTAGCGGTCCAGGTTCTGCTTGAAGTTCTGCTTCAGGTTCTCTCTCAAGGCGTGCCAGAACAGTTCTCTGCCCACCAGCGCTCGGGACACAGCGTGGACCAGGCAGTGCCCGTCTCCGTCCACATGCACCGGGATGAGACACTCCCTGTTGCCGTTGGCTTTCTTCACCTCCTCCAGGGTGTCGTGGAGGTATATGAGGCTTCCTGACCGGTCCTTGCCGTAGCCCATGGTGGACACATGGTCCGGCTCGATGAGGAACACCCGGTCTCCCAGGAGCGAGCAGTCAAACATCTCACCTTGGTTCATGTCCCTCAGCAGCTTGGCTTTGCCGGTTTGTTTGTCCATGCCGTACCTGGTGAGGACCGGGGACAGCAGCTTGCAGTGGTAATTAGAGAGCCCCATCACTTTCACCAGCTCCGTGCCTTTCTTCGGGGCCCCGGTGACGCCGAGCAGGGCGTTTCTGAGCAGATTGTGGAGCACAACATCCGGATCAGTCACCTCTTCGACATTTAACAGGTTCTTCTGTTCGTGGCGTTGGCCGCACTCGGTGCACTCGATGCTAACGGAGCCGTACGCGGGGAAGAATAGCCTCGCCTGACATTTCGGGTCCGGGCAGGTACCGGACAAAATACGCTTGTCTTTTTTCTTCGAGCTCTGCAGCAGCGACATTTCGGGGCGAAAAAGGCTGAAACTGTGTGTCAGCTTCACAAAACCATGGTAGTCGGACTCCGGCAGGCTGTCAGACGAGCTTCGGCTCTGCTAACGAGAGTTATTTGCCAGAATAACACAAGAACAACACGGAAGCGGCTGTTTTTTCTCTTTAGCAACTGACCGTTGCTAAACGTAACTACGTCATGACGTAAGATGGTGGGACTTGTAGTTGTAGCGTGTAAATACTTTTTAAAATCTTTACTCAGGAGAATGAGAATTACTACATTTACAGTTTTTCCTTTTGTAGCAATAGGACTCAAATACAAGAGTTTAATGTTTAATTTAACACACACGCGTTGTTAAATGGTTAAAATTACCAACGTTGACGTTCAGTCGACTACATTTACCAGAGTGCAACGCGCCGCAGTGACGTTTTGTTGTGTAAGGAAGTCGATACGGCAGAATCACGGCAGTTTGGAAGGATTGTTTCCTGAATATATTATTATATTACTATATATTACTATATATTACTATATATTACTATATATTACTATATATTAACTCGTTAATTTACTCACAGATGTATTAAAGCTTGTTTCGGCTCCTATGAGTCGGCGGATGTAGGCTAACGACACTGACAACGCGAGTTAATGGTTAGCTTAGCCGCTAGCCTGCTGCTGAAGCTAACCGAACATTATTGTTGTTGTTGTTGTTGTTGTTGTTGTTGTTGTTGTTGTTTATGACACTAAACGGCACTAGCAGCCGTTGCTAGGTAACCTCCGAACATTCGGTAACGTTGTTAAAGAGAAGCGTTAGCTAGCAGGGGCCAACTGACGGCTCACTGACGGCTGACTGACGGCCCACTGACGGCTCACTGACGGCCATCACTGACGGCCCACTGACGGTTAACTGCCAACTGACGGCTCACTGACGGCCCACTGACGGCTCACTGACGGCCCACTGACGGTTAACTGACGGCTCACTGACGGTTAACTGCCGACTGACGGCTAACTGACGGCCAACTGACGGTTAACTGCTCACTGACGGCTCACTGACGGCCGACTGACGGCCCACTGACGGCTCACTGACGGCCCACTGACGGCCGACTGACGGCTCACTGACGGCCGACTGACGGCTCACTGACGGCCCACTGACGGCTCACTGACGGTTAACTGACGGCTCACTGACGGCTCACTGACGGCCCACTGACGGTTAACTGACGGCTCACTGACGCCACTGACGGCTCACTGACGGCCGACTGACGGCTCACTGACGGCTCACTGACGGCTCACTGACGGTTAACTGACGGCCAACTGACGGCTCACTGACGGCCACTGACGGCCACTGACGGCTCACTGACGGCCCACTGACGGCCCACTGACGGCCCACTGACGGCCCACTGACGGTGCGTGGGCAGTTTGGCACCGATGGACAGATTAATGTCCCTGCCTGTGTCTGGAGCTTGAAGAGAAAGATCCTGTCGCCGAACTCCATTCAGAAATATGTCAATTTAATAGTTATCGACTTACCGACCAACAGAAAATAAATCAATGAACTAACTAAATGGATTACCTAAACACTGAGTGACCTTTGATCAATACGGCGTATTTGATCCAACAGTTGCACTTATTCTTGAGGAGAAATCTGGCTCACAGCTCCCCTGTTGTCTGGTTTGTTGGCAGATTGAGGGAATAATGGATCTAAAGCCAAATGAAGAATCAGTTTCTATTATTAATAAATGCCGTTCAGCTCATTCTGTATGGAAAGATTTTAAACGTCATAATATCAGTACAATCATTATTTTAAGAGACAATATGTCGTATATTGTATTAGTTTAAGCCTATTAATAGTATCCTACTCAGTGCATTAACCGGCTGCACTGCATGTAACACAGCTGTACTCCCACAATCACACACAGTTAAAACAAGAGACTGCTTGAAGAAAGAGGTTCTGTTACAGAATTATAGTTATTTTATTGAGGAACAGACAAAAGGCTCAGTCTCTGAGAACCTCAGGTTTCTATCAGAGCTCGCAGAAGTAGTGGTAATATTTGTTGTAGCAGTAGCTGTATTGTATTAGTTGCAGTAGAAATAGTATTTGAATTATTTTTAGAAGTAGAGAGCATCATCATGTTGTCATGGCGACCATCATGAGCGTCCTCTGGATACCCTTGCACTTCCTCTGACTAACCACAGGGTGGTGGTGTTTCTCTCTGATGTTTAATGTCAGCACCAGCAGCAAACACAGAAATCCACCATATGATAAACTTTAGTTTCCAATCTGTCACACAGCCATGGTGGAAGAGCTTATTTATTGGTGTGACACCTATCTAACACCGTACAGAGACATGTAATGTCACACAGGTCTCGTCTGGTGAGTTAAAATATGTTGTTATTCTTCCAACAGTGTTTCATGGTGAAAATGATCAAGCTGTTCAGAGTTATAACATAATAGAACAAACATCCCTAAAATAATATGAAATGACTACATTTGAACAAACGAATCAGGTAGAAAAGAAGAAACTGTATTAGTGAACAAACAGATATGTGATGAATATTAATGTCATATACTGACAGACTGTTCAGAGGCCTCGATAGAGTTTGAGACAGTTGACAATCTTACAGATCGTTTTTTAATCAAATAAAGTTCATAAAGATTTTAGGTTTATGTATTTGACTAAAAATATTAATATAGTAAATACTTTAATATTAAATCAAACAGGGATGAATCATGGAATAATATGAAGTTAATAAACAAGAAACATTCATGAAACTTCACATATTGCTGATGATCCCCAGTAACTTCACTTCTTCCCTTCCTCCTAATATTATGAAATTTGACTTTTTAATATTTTATCAGAACTTATTGAGTTGAGACCGTCATACAACTATCACCAATTCCTATTTTTATTTATTTATTTATTACCAATTAAATAATCTAATAAATTATGAAATTGTGTATGTCAGTATATCAGCAAACAAAATAGGAAATAAATATTATTAGTATAATGAGAAAGTACACCACATGTTATATGAACTCTGAGGCTTCTTCTAGGACAGAGTGACAGTTGGCTCTGTTGGTTTGTCTTTATATTTTAAATTATTAGAACTAAAACCAACTCTTTACACCTATAATACTTTAATACATTATATATATGGCTGTGACCTCCAGGTCAGTGGTCATTGGCTGACTGGTCATTTGATTTCACTCATTAGAGTGTGTAAGTCAAGACTGCATTAACAAACAAGGATTGGAAAGTGTTACAATATTTCTGAACACAGACTCATGTGTCTGGTTTGGTTTTTGAATATTTTCAGAATTAAATATTTAAGCAAATAAAAAGCTAAATTTACAGAACTATAGACAACCTGAGAAAAGACAAAGAACTGCAGAGAGGGAGAGGAGTTCATGAGTGTGTACAGCAGCAGATATGAATCTGTTCTCAGTGGTTATTAGGACTCATAAAAAACTGTTGACAGCAAATCAACACTTCCTTTCCTGCAGCAGACGGGCTGTGTGGGTTTCCTCTCTGCAGCCTCCTCACCGTTAGCTGCACTTTTTCACATTAATAACACAATGACAGTTACAACCATCGACTCTGGTTAAAGAATCATTCCAGGAACTTCAGTTTGATTTCAGCTCTCAGTACTCACTGTGAAAGTTGTCTTTAATTCAAACAGTTTTATTGATTCTGTAAAGGTGACAGTTTAATGACAGATTCTCCAGCCTGACTCCAACTTGTAACATAATACAACATATTAGGACATGTGGGAAAGGATCATAGCCTGCATACATTGTTAACATCAATGTAAAGATAATTTCTAAGTTATTTGTTTATTCTTAATATATTACAAATTAGAATTTGTGTCTAAATAAAATCAAATATAAGTTCATTGAAGCAGTTTTTTCCACAATGTTTAATTTTTGTATTTCTTATTGAAGCATTTTCTTATTCTGTCTTAAAATGTGTTACATAAATATAAATCTTAGTTGTATATATAATGTATAATCAGTAACTATACCAATCCATTTCGTCTTGATTAAGCTGATTACAGTTGGCATTTTACTGGTTCATAAAAAGTAAACACAACCATCATTTAGCCAACATTCAAACTTCAAACCGACTGATCAAGCCACTGTATCATCATTTTATAGCAGTTGTAGCTTCAAAGCAGCTCACTCTGCTGTTTGTTAATGTGTGTAAATAACAGTGTCATCAGCGTAGAGTTTTACATCCACACTGACACAATTATAAAAGGGCCTCAGCACTAAAGCCAAAAAATCAGAAACACAATCACACTGATTGTGTTTCTTTTTGTGATTTTTTGCTATGAAGCCAAACTGAAATTCACAAATACAAAAACAGAAAATAAGAACATAGAAAATATAAACAGTAAAATATCAAACAGATAATGATTCAGATTATTTTTTTGTGAGTCACAATTAAAAGCAGAAATAAAGTAGCGGATCAAAATAAGACTTTAGCACATAATTTACACTCAGTAACTGCAGATATATAAATGTGTATATATGTATTTATATTTTAAGAATGACTGTATCTAACCTGCGTAAAAAAAGCTACATTTTACAACCAACCACAAAAGGTCTAAATTGACATTTCTGGCTGCTGATCAAAGTGATAAATGACATGAATTGATGATATTTGACGGAGAGAAAAGGAGAGCAGAAAACAGTCAGTCAGCATGTGTGCAGTTGGTGGACGGTCCCTTGTTTCTGAGGATCATCAGCAGAGAGAGTCCACAGCAGTACACCAGACTCTTCACTATCAGCACTGTGTACATCAGACAGAGCAGCTTCACCTGGCACTGAGACTGGAAGGACACTGACAGACAGACAGACAGACAGACAGACAGGTCAGTCTTCTCTCCACACTGTTTCAGTCTGTTCAACTGTGTAAATTTCATCAGTATAACTTGGACGTTTCCAGACGGAACAATCAGTTTTACATGAAGACAGGGGTCAGCTACAGTTTGAATGAAAGCTCAAAGGCCCTTATTAAATACAACAAGTCAGGGCCCCACCAAACTTTTAAAGTTCCTAAATAAGATTTGATCTTGTAAAAAAAACAGAAAAGATGCTAAAAAGCTCCTTAGAGCTGCAGATGAATCTCTGTGAGTTTACAACTACCAAAGACACTTTCACTTTATACAGTCATTAGTTTCATTCTTTTTTTTTTAAAGTTATTCTTTTGGC